AGAGAGAGAGAGAGAGAGAATGAGAGAGGGGGAGAGGGAGAGAGGGAGGGAGGAGTGAGGGTGAGAGAGACAGACAGACAGACAGACAGACTTCCATCTGCTAGTTCACTCCCCAAATGGCAGCAATGACCAGAGCTGGGCCCATCTGAAGCCAGGAGCTTCTTCTGGGTCTCCCAGGTGGGTGCAGGGGCCCAAGCACTTGGGCCATCTTCCTCTGCTTTTCCAGGTGCATTAGCAAGGAGCTGGGTAAGAAGTAGAGCCTGTATATGATGCTGGCATTGCAGGCGGCAGCTTAACCTGCTACGCCCCAGCGCAGGTCCCTGCAGGTTCTTACAGAAAGGGACTGATCTGCCCTTTCACGTAGGTCAGCAGTCTGTGGGTGGAGGGAAAAGGTGCAGACAGGTTTGCTGGGGGTTAGCTTCAGGAGTGAATGTGGACTTCAAAGGGAGTCAGTCATGTACTCCAGGAGCTGCTGGACTGAGATTCTGGAATGTTCACATTCTTTCCTGTAATTGTTACTTGTTAGTGCATTTGTTTTCCTTTGATGAGATTTAGAAAATCTCTCAAGCCAGGAGGAGCCTGCTGATGGCAGCAACAAGGAGATGGACTGCGGAACTGTCTGAGGGGCAGAATGTCACATCTGAGATCCTGAAAGTAGCCCTCAGCATGGAACATACCGGATCAGAGGCAGCTTACCTGCACAGACATGGAAGGCTCTGATGAGAATACCTGAAAATGACCATGCCCTCTTCTACTTCTGGAACGCACACTAAGGTTCTGTTTGTCTGACGGCATTAAGGGAGCAGGGCCCTCCTTGCTGTCTCTAAGGACTCCCCAGCTGCCACATCAAGGATGAGTCAAGGGTGTGTGTGGGGAGAACAGCGTTGGGGATTCGCCCTCTTAATTCTTAGGGTGCTGACTATACCTCAGGAGGAACATGGCTTTAAGAAGCTGCCCTGAGGCCGGCGCCGCGGCTCACTAGGCTAATCCTCCACCTGTGGTGCCAGCACCCAGGGTTCTAGTCCCGGTTGGGGCGCCGGATTCTGTCCCGGTTGCCCCTCTTCCAGGCCAGCTCTCTGCTGTGGCCCGGGAAGGCAGTGGAGGATGGCCCAAGTGCTTGGGCCCTGCACCCCATGGGAGACCAGGAGAAGCACCTGGCTCCTGCCTTCAGATCAGCGCAATGCGCCGCCTGCGGCGGCCATTGGAGGGTGAACCAACGGCAAAGGAAGACCTTTCTCTCTGTCTCTCTCTCTCACTGTCCACTCTGCCTGTCTAAATAAATAAATAAATAAAAAACAGCTGCCCTGAAAGGTTTGGGGTGGGTGTGGCTTTGGCAGAGATGGTTAGGACACCACTTCCCACACTGCTGCACCTGGGTTCGAGCCTCGGCTCTGCTTCCACCTCCAGCCTCCCTGCTAATGCACACCCTGGGAAGCAGCGGGTGATGGCTCAAGTACTTGGGTCTCTGCCACCTACATGGGAAACCAGGATTGAGTTCCTGGCTTCTGGCTGCTGCCTAGTGCAGCCCTAGCTGTTATGGGCATTTGGGGAGTGAACCAGCAGGTAGGAAATCTCTGCCTTTCAAAACTAATTAAAAAAGGAAATCTTAACATCACCATATGAACACCATAGACTTGACAGCAGCTCAGGAGGCTACAGTACAAATGTTAAGTACTTACACTAAACTGGGGAGAGGCCCAACTGTTTTGTTTTGAATGAAATTCAAATAACAATGATAAATTCACCGAAATTCAAATAACAATGATAAATTCACCATGACAATCAGTCACTTTTTACAGCTCTCTCCCTTCCAAATGTGACTTAATTCATCAATGTGTATTAACCCTTTCTCTTTAGACAATAGTACCAGGTGGGGAAGAAACAGTTCCAGCCAGGGAAAGTACCTTTGGAGCCTCTCCCAACCTCATGCTTACCTTGGACAGGCTGAGTTCTCTGTCAATCAATAACTGAATCTGCCCACTGAGCCAGAATACACTGTCTACATCTCTAGGACCCCAAACAGCTTAAGATAATTAAGTGGGCAAAAAAGCAAACCTGAAGCAGTTTAGGAAACACAAGAAAAGCAAATGTCTGAAAAACAAAGGGGGGAAAACACGCTGTATGAAATACCATTTTCTTATAGCCTGACATAGAACCCACTGTGTTAAATCAGGAAGATCACTAGAATGTTTTGGAACTGCCACCAAATCTGAAATGGAGTACTCTCATTGATAGAAAATTATTAAAAGTCCTGAGTCAGGAAGGCATTTTCTAAAATATAAGGAATAAAATGAAGATTCCTCTTTTACTTTACAAGCAGTGGGGTAAATGCAGCCTTGTTCTTATGCCCACCGCCATCACTGCCCTGTACAAGGGATCTTTAAAGTAACTGATGGGCAGGTGTTGTGGTGCAGGTTAACTGCCTGTTTGGGACACCTGCATCCCTTCTCTGAATGCCTGGTTCATGTCCACCATTTCCAATCCAGCTAAAGTGCCTCAGAAGGCAGTGGAAGATGGCCCACCTACTCGGGTCCTTGCCTTGCATGTGGGAGACTGGCATAGAGTTCCTGGCTCCTAACTTGGTCTGACCCAGCCCCAGCTGTTGCGGATGTTTGGGGAGGGAACCTGTGGATAGAAGCTCTCTGTATCTCAAACTTCTAAGTACATACATAATTAAACAACTCTTTTTTTTTTTTTTAAAGATTTTATTTGTATTTGAGAGGTACAGTTACAGAGGGAGACAGAGAGAAAGGTCTTCCATCCACTGGTTCACTCCCCAAATGGCAGCAGTGGCCAGAGCTGGGCCCATCTGAAGCCAGGAGCTTCTTTGGGGTCTCCCATGTGAATGCAGGGGCCCAAGCACTTGGACCATCTACTGCTTTCCTAGGCCATGAACAGAGAGCCAGATTTGAAAGAGGAGCAGCCATATGGGATGCTGGCAACACAGGTGGATACTTAGCCTACCATGCCACAGTGCCGGCCCCACAAATCTTTTTTAATAAAAGTTCCTGAGAAAGCTGGGCTCATGTATTAAGAAAAGCTGAGCCCATCCCAATTTATCTTTTCATTCCTTTTCTCCCTGACATGTTGAAGTTTTGTCACACTTGAAGGTAATAAGCCTGGGGCCAGCACTGTGGCACAGCGGGTTAATGCCCTGGTTTGAAGTGCTGGCATCCCATATGGGCACCGGTTCTAGTCCTGGCTGCTCCTCTTCCGATCCAGCTCTCTGCTAAGGCCTGGGATAGCAGAAGATGGCCCAAGTCCTTGGGCCCCTGTACCCGCATGGAAGACCAGGAAGAAGCTCCTGGCTTCTGGCTTCGGATCGCCACAGCTCTGGCCGTTGCGGCCATCTGGGGAGTGAACCAGCGGATGGAAGACCTCTCTGTCTCTACCTCTATCTGTCTTTCAAATAAAAGAAAACAAATCTTTAAAAAAAAAAAAAAGGTAATAAGCCTGTGAGTTAGGCATTCATGATATTTTACAACCGAATCTGAAAGATGTTGAAAGATGGTTTGTCCACATGCTACATGCTGTGTGAGACCCCCTTGTCTCTCCCCACCACACACAGCGTGAGTGGGGCTGGGACGCAAACACAATCCCGGAGTACCCGTCCCCCGCAGTCTCTCCCAATCTGTGGAGGCCTTGCTCAGAAGCAGACCATCTCCCCACAGCCATCGAAGTGCTTCGGCCTCCAGATAGCCACGTCCAAGGAAGCCCTTGACGGGAGACCCCGCTTGCTGCTCCCTGTCTGCTCCCAGAGCCACTCAGGTGGCTTCACACAGCTCGGAGCTCAGTGAGAGCACAGCCCCAGCCCGGCACACAGTACCACACCAAGAGGACCTCTGCGGTCGTCGTCCGTCACCGGCCGGCCTTGGCGATCCGAGAAACTACGGGGCCATCCTGGGATAAGTGACCCATTTTAACCAGCACGCTCAGCCAGAGACCTGGAGGCACTTCTAAATCACCAGAAACAATCACCTTAGAGACAGGTGAGAAAACACTCACCGCAGCTCATCCCTAGTTGTCTAGGACACGTAACTTTCCATTTGCACAGGAATTAATTATGCTTCTAACACACTGATCCTGCACCCGTGCTTACACCATAGCACGCCGATGATGCCATTAACACTGAACACAGGCAGCTGCAGGGCTAAAGCCCAGTGCGCTCACTTATTTAGCATCTGTGCTGCCAGGGGCTCGCTTACTCCATGGAACAAAAACAAACCACCACAGGAAACACGAATTTTTAAATTTTTTTCGCTTCAGTGAAACAATCACATAGCTGCTCTAATATGGATTTCCAGTAGGACTAAAACACTGCTTTTGGAATTGTAAAAATTTCATTTCAAAAACACACAGTACAGATACAGGATAACTAGAATCACGTCAGTTTATCAGAGGGTTGCTCTCAACACCTTCTTTGCCTCACTTTTCCTATATGAAAAGTTTGCAGGATCAAATTGAAAATTCTACTATCAGCATACAACTAGGGTCTATGAGAAAAAACCTAAAAGGAAAACCTAAAATAAGTAATCTGCTATGTCTCTGCAGAAATTTGCATGCTTGTGAGTGTACGATTTCAAAACACCTGAAACCTCCTTCATATAAACCATTGCTCTCCAATGTGTTTCTCTTTTGAGACTTAAACTGCTTTAAGAAGAAAGGTGGCAAGGCCTTCCTGGACAACATTTTGTTATTCATCTGTAATACTTGGACAGAAAATTGGCCTATTTTGTACATGGCTTAAGAAATGCAATCTTATACATTTTACAAAATTAAAACATGCACAGACATTTTCCACTGCCAAGTGTCAAAACCTCAATTGTTTTTAAGAACGAAAAACTAAGGATCTGAGGGAGAAAGCCCCTTCTAATACGTGACAGTGTTCTTATCACAGGAGCAAGAAGAAAACAGAAAAAAATTATGTAACCATTTCAAATAATAAACCAGAAAAAGCCAGAGCAAAATTCCAATTTTCAAAAAAAGCATGACTACTTAAATGGATGGTAATGTTCATCACTATTTAATGTTCTCAGGAATATGGTATTGACGAAACACCATACAGAAAGTATTATGGGTGAACATGCTCAACAGTGTGTACTTCCAGTGAATTCCAGATTACACATGATCATAGTAGGAATATCATTCACCACTGACAAGCCTAAGGTCTCTTAAAAATCTAAACATTTTGAGAGATGCACTTTGTTTCATAGGAAGAGTCACAATGTAACAGATATACTGACATTACAGCTACAATTATGCTACTGACAATCTTTAATTGTACAGAATACAGCTTGAGTAGGTGAAATTACAAGATAATTATCTTCTTTAAAACCATTTTTAAAGAAGGACAGAGTTGTCATTTATTAGAAGCCAAAAACAAACAGAAAAATGTAACTGGTAAAGACAGTCTTTAGAACATTTGCGGCTAATTTTCAAAATACAACAGGGTTTTTGGTCCATGAGGCCACTGAGAAATAAAAGGCAGGTAGAGGGTTCTCCTTTTCAATATTAATTCAAAGTTCCTGGAAAAATTTCAATATTTAGTAAAACATCTTTTTACAGAATACTTTAGATGCAAGAAATACCGAATAAATAAAAGGTATGACCAGCGTAAAAAGAGAAATGACTACTGCCCTCTTAGAAAGGACATCAGTGCCAACGAGAATTTTGGTGACCATCAATTGCAATAAAATTATTTCTTCTCAAAAGCACATCCTTAAGGGCTGACTCCTTAATGCTGTCCCTCAGGGCAGGGATCAACAAACGAAGGCTCACAGGCCAGATTCTGCCTGTTTCTGTAAATAAAGTTTTACTGGAACACAGCCATATGCATTCATTTACATACTGTCTCTGGCTGCTTTTATTCTGGAGAGGCAGAGGCGAGCAGTGTTTAGAGATGATTCTCAAAGCCTAAATAATTTACTGTCTGATACTTTACAGAAAAAGTTTGTCAACACTTGCCCTAAGGGCTTCCTTGACCAATGTCAAACAATTCAATTTTCTTTAGTATTTTTGACCCTCTGCTCTCTTCTTCTAATGCACCTGTGTGATCAGCTTTTAATATACTTTGTTGGAATACACCTTGTAAGCTTAATATCACAGGTGTGTTTTCTTCTTTAGCCTGGAACATTTAGAACACAAGCTTATCTCTAGCCATAATGTGTTTGAGTTGCAGTCAGTCAGGAGTTCTCCAGGAGTTAGATGATAATAAAGTGGATGAGCCATATGCCAACAGAATGGCCAGAAAAATGTACCACTTATTTTATACTGAATAAGTTGGACAGCAAAAAAGTAACAGAAACCAAGTGCATTTACTTTAGAGTAAATGACATTAAATCAGAGGGAAAACAGCTTGAGAGTTTTCAAAACACACACACACACACACACACAGCCATCCTCCCATACAGCACAAACTAAGGGCTATCACATAAAGCATATTTGTTTTATAAATATATTACTGTCTATATACATATAGATACATCCTTAAAAGGCAAGTTAAATAATTATTTATATAATCAATACAACTCTAAGGTTTTTTTTGTGTATTTTAAAATTACACGTTCTATTAAAATTACCAAAATAATTTTTAAAAAATACCAGGAATAAAACCAGTGAAGAGCTGCTTTCCATTTAAGTGGTTCTGAATCTTCTCACTGGTCACACAGACCCCAGACTTGGTTAACACGACTGAAAGAAACACAGTTCATCCAGGGAAAAGGCAGCCACCGATGGCACTCACCTCTCCCCAGTTTTAATGCTTCATAACAAGTATGTATACATATTTATAAAACACTCTCTTTAGTTCTACTATACATTCTCATACATGAATTTTCGTGAAAACACAAAATTCAAGTTTCCACCAGTATCAAATATTTTATACTGGTGTGCTGTCTTTCAATGTTTTGTTAATGACAGACTATCAGGATACAGGGATCATACAAATGACACGGAAAACGTCTGTAACACATGCAAGACAGGAGCAAACACTAAAGGCCAGTATTTGGCCACTGGGTACTATTCCCTCTGGACTAAGACACACAGAGACTGCTAATTATGGTGGAAACTACAGTCACCTGTCAATCGTTCAGGGGCCAGAATATTCCAGATTGAGTCATTTTTCTTTCACCAGTTGATCACTTCTGGTGAGTTCACTACTTATCAACATACCTCTCTCTGCTTTTTAATTTATTGGTTTTTAGCAGGTCTGATATATAGGGATTAGGGAGAAAGTTTTGGTTAAAATGAAGGTCTGTGATCAGCTATGGATTTAATCTAATGATGGGCTCCTTTTATTTACTGCTTTGATAAAAAAAGAATTTGCTGTACCTAATTCTGCCAAATGTGCTCAAACAAACAAAAAAGCAGGACAAATTATCCCCTGACCACAAGAAAACTGCTACTTATGAACCCACAATGAATGACACTGACATTCAGAGTGGGTTGGGTGAGAGCTAGTCACCTAGTTCATGTGGCAGCACGGGATGTTATTTTTCCAGAAAAATAATGACAGTCCCCTAAAAATATTACAAGGTCAAATTAAAAGTGCCACATACATTTCATCTAAGATGTCATTTAAAAAAATTTAGTAAGGTTTGGTAGAATCTTCAAATAATTGAAATATTGAAAAAAAATGAGGCCAAACCTATATGTACAATCAAAAAATGATTGCATATAAAAAATAAAAGGACCATGGCGAAAATAAAAGATACTACATATTTGTAACCCGACTTTGGCACTCGTTTAGCCTCTACTTTGAAACATTTTCGATAGATAGTGACCAAGAAACTCAAGTGGAGCGATTTCCCAAGTGAGTGGGGTCGTTCTCAGACAGACACCACTCAGCATGGTTTGGGTGGCATCACTTGTCTGATTTCAGGGAACAGATGAGTGCCACACTCACTTCAAACACAACAGCAAGAATTGTGTAGAACACCACTTTCCTGAATTAAGTTTGCTGAACACGGTTCAGATTATTGGATATGTCAATATGCACAATGCCTTTTAGAAGCATTTACTGTATACCCAAATCCTACTTCATGCGACACACAGTGTCACACAAGTAGTGAAAATGTTATCCTAGGCAAAGGTGCTCGGACATTATTTTCAGGCAGCATTTTACCTTTATTTTAAGTTCACACTAAGTAAGTTTTAGGAGAAAGAAAAATGCCAATAAATTTATTTAATATGTTTTAATATATTATATAAAACTAAGACAGACACTTTTATGTACCTAAATTGTTACTTTTATTTTCTACCCTATTCTAAACCTCAATTTTACTTTAAAAATTTGTATTTAAATAAGGGATAAAATGTTGCCCAAAAGTCTAATCATAGTTACACATTTGTGTTTTAACTAGATCTACAAATCAAAATAGTTCGTATAGTTAAAAAGATACAATTTGTATCAACAGTAAAAGGTACTTTCTGGTTTTTCAGGGCTTTCCTTCAACCGTGTAGAATAATTACAATGACCAGGGCATCCAGGCAGACTGTGGAAACGGATCTGAATGTGTCTGTTACACATCGTAAAATGCAAAATCTGCAGGCAACAAGCAAGCTCCGTCAATCACACAACTGTCTGCCACGGATCCCAAAGCCTGTCTTCTAAACTGCAGAAATGAATTCGTTGCTAGCAAAACCCATGACTTTGAAACCAGAAATATCCCTTACTAATACTAGAACAGACTTTAGTCTGTATCTAAAACTACACTATTTGTGGCAAGAATCTGGCCTTAATAATATAACAGGCCCCCCCCAACCCCAACCCCCCCCCCAAAAAAAAAACCAACTACCTTCAGGAAAATGGAAAATATACAATATCTTACAAAAAATTTAAGTTACCATTTACAATTCCTCCATTACCGTTTCTATAGTGCAGTTATCAATAAGTGTTGCATATCGTCAACACATGAATCCACTCAGGCCAGCCTTCATAAATAGCAAGAAAGTTAAAGAGCATACTAAATATAAAAGTTGCATTGAGAATAGATTCATTAAAAACAAGCCAGTACTGTAAAAGGGTTATTTTATCCAGTATTATTGTGCCCCCAAAACAAAAAGACATACATATTAAAAATGCAGGCTAATGGAAATCTAGAAATTCAACTCCATTTCTATTGTCTAGAAGCACATTAGAGCTGGATTACAAAGCTCTAACCTGTAACAGTTACGGCTTTTGCCTTCTTTGTAAAAAAAAAAAAAAATGGAAACAATTTTTTTCCATTGATTGCATCTGCTTTCTTTTAAACTGACCATATTAAATTAACTAATTTCTTAACAGAAAACAATCCAAACAAAAAAAAGTGCCATACTGAAAATCAAATCATTCATATATATATATGTATATATATATATATTGTTACCCATTTCAACAAATTGGTAACTTACACTTTGTTTAAAATATAAAGTCAGTGCTGTAGTATATCTTTGTTTCTATAAATTATGATTATAGCACAAAGAAGCCCACGTTCCCCAAATAAAAATAACTTAAAAAGCTGTAAAAGATTCTAATTAAGCTTGGCTTGAAAAAACAGTTTGCTAGGTCTAATTAAATGTTCCACATTCTGAAGGTATTGTAATTGCTTGCAATTGATAGACAAACACCCAGTTAATAAAACATGAAACAAGGATAAAAAGTGCTGCATATAAACCCCTGATGCACCAAAGATTAATATCAAAGATCACGGATACATCTATTAAATCAAACTGGAAAAACTTCCAGCCAAGGATATAGCTTTAAAAAGGAAATGTTAAAAAAAGTTTGAATGTAAAGCAATCCCGGGATACTTCCACCGAGTGGGGCTATACATACAGATTCCATGATACAGTATTTCACATAAATGGATACTACATGACCTCCTCACTGGGAAGGAGATCACATGTGCTATTGTAGCAAACCTCCTTCAGCATTTGAGCTGAACAAAAAACTACTAAACACCACAAAGATGCATCAGCTTTCAATAACCCAGTTGGGATTTCTCCACTAGAATGGCCGCGGCGAGCTGCTGGGGATCTGTCATGTGAGGGTTCCTTTTCATGACGATTCTCACAAGGTCAGGTGGGAAGATGTTGCACAGGTTGATGTAGATCTTTTCTCGGCTGTCTTGATACCTTGGAGGATCTTGTGGCATTCCACAGTACGGGATTCGCCAGGTCGGCTCTTGCTGTTCAGGTAGGCTCTGGAAAGTGAACTGCTCATAGCATGGCTGTGTGGAGTTGTCGGGCAAGGAGTAAGTCTGCCGGTACCCATACGTATCCATCCCGTAACTTGGCCTGTCCCAGCTGCCCAGTCCTTCCTGCCGGGAATAAGGCTTCCTTTGTCTGGAAGGAGAGCTGTCATACAGTCGAGAATCCGAAATGCTGTCTATTCTCGTGGCCACTAAGGACCTCCCTAGGTGCGGTGCCTTAGAGTGTGCTGAGCTTGGGGGAGAGGGGTAATCACCAGGACAGCTGGACCGGGCACCCACGGCCGGGTGCTGCAGGTGCACAGCCAAGTGAGGGAGAGGAGGCTTGTGATGGAACTTTGGTTCTTCATGACTGTAACTTTGCACTCTGGTTAAGGGGTCGTGGAAATTCTGCAGGAAGGGTTGGGAATTAAGGCGGCTGTGAGGGTGCATGTGTTGACACTTCAGATTCTCTTCCAGCTGCGGGTCGGGAGAACTGACATAGGACCGGTCGTTGTACCCCACGTAGGAGTCGCTGCTCCCACAGCTCATGCTGCCTTCACTACTGCAGTCAGAGGCGACAGAGCTGATTCTGTAATCTGTGTCTAACGAGAACCGCCTCTCAGGACTTCGTGGGCCTGAGATACTCAGGTTTGAATATGCATTCAACATGGAATAATATCCGACGTCAACTGGGGAGTCACATTTTGGGTACTGTTCATAAGGCATTGGCGTTCCATGGTTTTTGGTTGCCATCATCATCGGAGGATATTGTCCCTGTGGTCTTTGATCCTGAGCTGGGAAATGAACCCCAGATGGAAGGCCATTGCTTAAAGATGTAGTGCTTTGGGGTTTTGCAGAAGAAGTAGCCGGAATACTAACTAAAGAAGGAACAGACCTGGTTTCCAGTTTGTTTTTGGTGGGAAGCTTTTCTTCTAGGTCTTGGTAGACTTGAGTCCTGATGCTTGGATCTGATTGCCTCTTTGGAGCACCTCGTTTGACGTCAGAAGTGCTATCAGCCTTGGTGCTACAAGGAACACTGTTGCTTTTCACCAGTCCTCCTTCATTGGCAGCTTTGGCCACTGTATTTCTAGACATGGCACGAAGTTCATCAGCCACTGACCGCTGAGGCTGACTGCCCCTTTCGGGATGATAGTATTTGCACTTGTGTCCGTAGGTGCACTTCTTTCCTATGAAGAGTAAAAGTGATTAGGCAAAGGAACATCCAGGCAGATCCTGAAAAGTCAGGGTGGCCCTGCTACCTTAACTTGAAAAGGGGTGAAGTCAGGTAGGGGAGAGATGCTAAGCATTTCTCGGTTCCAAATTCTTGAGAAACGTCATGTTGTAGTCTTCTTACTTCCTTACTATCAAAAGCGCTACAAAAGTTTGCTGAACATAAATAATGACTTCCAGAGTTTTGGGCTAATACCCCACTTCCTCAGCTCACACCTGGCTCTTCTCTCCCAGTGGCAAATTGAGTAGGAAATTGAGTTTCACAAGGCAGCACGTACTGCTGTGGTGGAATAACACCATGACCACCTGACTGTATCCTGATGCAAGAACTGCCATCACCTATGCTCCTGAAAACTAACTTTGTATAGGGTTAACTGAGCTTTTCTGAACTGTGTTTTAATTCCGGGAAATGTGCTTATATAGAACCCAAATAGTTAGAAATCATTCTTTTTTCTTGGCTAAGACATTTTCTTAAATATGGTTACAGTAGAAAGAACCATACACTATGTCATCTAAAATTTCAAATATTTATTCTTACAAATAAATCTTTAACAAGGTATTGTTTTCTAAAGGTATATATTAAATATTCATAAATAAAGGTACCATATGGACAGGGCTGCTTTTTGTGTTCAGGAACAATAGGTTTCTTCCTCAAGAAATTATCCAGACTTGGGCCATGTCTGCCAAGAGGGTCATCCGGGGGCATGAACCTGTCATGGAGATAATAAAAAATGGTCTTTAATTTTAAAGATAGAGGACAAAGATTTCTTTACTTGAAATTTTAATCCAAGTGTTTTGAGTCAACATTTACGGAAGAAGGAAATCAGTACATGAAGTTCTCTTTTCTTGACGAAAACAAAATTAAAATGTTTCAAGCTTAACTTGTATTTGTTTTAAATTCAAATATGTTTTGTGTCTAGCATGTTGTAATTAATTCTTTCCCTCAGCCTTGGGATTTTGTAAAGGATTTTAGAAAACAATATACTGACATTTTAAGAGAGCTTTATGAGGGGCTGGTGCTGTGGTATACTAGGCTGAGCCCACCCGCAGCACTGCCATCCCATATGGGAGCCTGTTAGTGCCCGGCTGCTCCTCTTCTGATCCAGCACACTGATATGGCCTGGGAAAGCAGTAGACAATGGTGCAAGTGCTTGGACCCCTGCATCCATATGGGATATCCAGAAGAAGCTACTGGCTCCTGGCTTCAGATAGGCTCAACTCTGGCCATTGTGGCCATCTGGGGAGTGAACCAATGGATGGAAGACCTTTCTCTGTCTCTTCCTCTCTCTAACTCTATCTCTCAAACAAATAAAAAATAAGATCTTTAAAAAACCTTTATGGGGCTATCACTGTGGCATAGTGGGCTAAGCCACCACCTGCAGCGCCCACATCCCATGTGGGTGCTGGTTAGAGTCCCGGCTGCTCCTCTTCTGATCCAGCTCTCTGTTATGGCCTGGGAAAGCAGCAGAAGATGGCCCAAATCCTTGGGCCCCTGCACCTGCATGGGAGACCTGGAAGAATCTCCTGGCTCCTGGCTTTGGTTCAGCAAAGCTCTGGCCGTTGCAGCCATTTGGGGAATGAACCAGCGGATGGAAGACCTCTCTCTCTGTCTCTGCCTGTCTGTCTGCTGTAACTCTACCTCTAAAGTAAATAAATATTAAAAAAGAGCTTTATGAACATTAATCTTATGAAGTGAGATGGAACAAGAGGGCAATGATGTGGCTACAGAGGAGGAGGGCGCGTGGCAGAATGCAGCGGGAGGAGGGAGACTGACTGAGCACTAATTATTTGTCAGCTACTTTACAGACACTATTTCACGTCACCCGGACAATAATGCCACGGAGTGGCTCCATTTTACAGAGTAGTACTCTCTTCCAACTCAGGTTTAGATGAATTAATTGTTATTTAACATCACATGGTACAGTCAAGAGTCTATTATAAGTGACTCCAAAGTCTTATTTTCTTCCCAATTATGCTGATGTGCTTCTCAGCTGAAGGAAACATCTTAGAGAAGTGAACTTATTATTTTGGAATGATTGCACAGTGAATGGAGGAAAGAAGAATTCATGGAATGTATAAAGACAGGAAGCTGAGATCAAAGACTCCTACTACTCCACATGTCACTGTTCAAACTTGAAATGAGCCCAATATTTACCTGCAAAATGTGAAAAATGTATGTAATGAGTGAACTCTTAGGGGTGTGTCAACATGGTTTAATAACACTTAGCAAATAAAGTTTTATAAGCAATGCAGCAACATTAAAAGTAAAAAAGAAGACAAGGTCACTCCACAGTTTTAACAGTCATTTTTCATATCTGGGTTGGATTTATGTCATTTTCCATATTATTACAACATTTTACTTAGTTTAATTAAACAAATGTTTTATGCTTTGCCTTTTTACATAAAAATATTTTTCCATTTTTCTTAATAGCCTTCCTAATAAAAATTCTGAACCACTGAGTAATATTCCAGGAGGAGATTTCTCTGCTATACATTTGGTTACCTGTGAATCCTTGAAATCACAAGCAATACAGGAATGAACATATCTGGTCTTTTTTTATTCATTTTAGATTCTAAGAGTTGAGATGATTTGGATGACAGGGTACACATATTTTAGAAGCCTGTGCTAATGTGCGCTAAACTGTTACATCAATTTACATGCATCTTTAACAGCATAAGGCACACACACAAATTTTTGTGAATTATGTGTATGAGAAAAATATAATGTTTTTAGATTTAGTTTGCATTTTTGATTGGCCACAAGTGATTTTTTCTGCATATTTATAAATGTATTTCATCTAGGACATTTTTTTGTCACAGTGTCTTGGCTTTCCATGCCTGAAATGCTCTCATGGGTTTTTCAGTCAGAATAGAATGCCTTAAGGGCTGATACTGAGGTCAGAGTGCTATTTAAAGTGATGGTCACTCTATGAGTCTGCTGTGTGGACCACTTCCCATGTTGGAGCATTCACTCCTTTTTGAGTCTATCTATTATTATTACCAAACCCTTAATCCTATCCATATCATCACTTTAACACTTAAGACCGTATTTTTACCACCCAGCTTAAGAGGATTTGGGGGCTTATGAAAAATTTTTAAACTGTACTCTTAGAAGTAAATCCATAGGAATGTATACGGAACTATATAGCTTTACAGGTAGAAACTGCATACACTTCATAATTACAACTTTAGGAACATGGTGATTCTTCCCACCATGCCCACCCTCCCACCCATGCTCCCAACCCCTCTGCTTTCTCCCTCTCTTATTCCCACTCTTATTTTTTATTGAGATCTATATTAATGTATTTACTTCTCATGAGATATACTTGTTCACATCATTTGTTCATTTGTGACTAGAGTTTAAAATTGGTAAAAACAACTTTAAAAGATCACATTTTTAGTAGGCTAAATGGTCTAAATTGATTTTGAAAGGCAGTTTTTTTGGGGGTGTCAGCCATTCCAGGTGCCTAGACGGAGTCTCACAAAACCTGTGCCTTCTGTGCTCTGTTAGTGACTTATGGCAAGGGCAGGGACCGGCACTCTCACAGGGCCTCCTGTGGCACAGTTCTACAGTTTGTGACTTCCATTGAGGATTCATATTGAAATCAGTTGTTGGCACAAACCTGACTTAGGATTGGGTCAGTGGCAAAAAGAGGATTCTACAGCAGCTGCCAGGGTCTGTGCTGGAAGGGAAGCAGCATCACTGGTTGGTAAAAGGTTTTACTTACTTGTCATTGACAAAGGAATACATTAATAACCGCTCGTCGATGAACTTCTTCCATTCTGGTTTTTCGTTAGCCAGATCCCTGTAGTTATCATTGGACACAATGATACCATCTGACTCAAAAGCCAGCTTCACGATGAACCTGTCATCATAGCACACCACGCGCCTTCCCTGGACTCGCCGCGACGGTGTGAACACCAGGATTTTCTCCTTCTCTAACTTACGTAAAATTTCCTGATCTGCAAGAGTAATAAGAATCAAAGTTTAGGAACAAACAAAAACATAACATGTACGGTAATGTTCATTCAATGTGAGCCTTTTTATTTACTGGAGTGCTTATAATCATTTAATTAGGGATTATGATTTACAGTTTGAAGATATAACATCATTTGCAACTCCATTCTTTCTTCAAGAATTTCAATAATAAGGATGTTAAAAGAGTTTAAAAAGGCATAAAACTTAAATATGATTAAGCAAATTCTGATTACATTGCATTAAGCTTTTGCTGAAGAGCTGAAGCCACCAGCACTACCAGTGTGTTACAGCATCTTACCCAGCTCTTCTGCAAGGCCATTCTAACTATGTAGTTGTATATGTGTAGATATGAACAACAGGTTTTCTTCCTTCAAAGTTTGTGTATTTAAAATTGTTTTATTATTTTTTTGAAAGCCAGAGAAGGAGAGAGAAAGAGAAGGAGGCAGGAAAGAAAGAGAGGAGGATGGAGAGGGGGAGAGACAGAGTGTGGGAGAGGGAGGGAGGACGAAGGAGAGGGTGATTTCACACATACATATATATTATATGTAATATATATACACATACACACATATCTATCTATCTATCTATCGATTGATCGATCGATTGATCGAGTCTCACAAAACCTAAGAGAAAATGAGAGAGAGGGAGAGCGAGCGAGTGCTCCCCATCTGTTGGTTCACATCTCAAATGCCCACAATGGCCAAGTTTGGGTGGGGCTGAAGCTAGGAATCTGGAGCTCAATCCAGGTCGTCCATAGTCATCACCTGCTGCCTCCCAGGTTCTGCGTTACTGGGAAATTGGAATCAGAAATGAGAACTGGGTTTAGAACCCAGGAACTCTAATGTGAGGTGTGGGCATCTTAACTACTAGGCTAAATGCCTGCTCCCTGTTTCTATACTTTGTGATTTCTTTTTTAAAAATAATGGATGTGATGGTAGGAGAGTTTGAAAGGAAATAGTAGAACTAATTGAGGTAGCAAAGGGAAGAATCTTTTTTTTTAAGACTTATTTATTTGTTTGAAAGAGTTATGTACAGAGAGTGACAGAAATAAAGAGAGAGAGAGAGAGAGAGAGAGAGATTGAGAGATTGAGAGATCGAGAGAGATCTATCTTCTATTCCCTGGATCACTCCCCGAGTAGCAACAACGGCCAGGGCTGAGCCAGGCTGAAACCAGGAGCCACAAGCTTCATGCAGGTCTCCCATGTGAGTGGCGGGAACCCAAGCACTTGGGCCATCTGTGGCTACCTTCCCCAGGCCATTATCAGGGAGCTGGATAGGAAGTGGAGCAGCCAGGAGTTGAACTGACACCCATATGCCAGCGTCCCAGGCAGTGCCTTTACTTACTATGCCACAACACTGGCCCTGGGGAAAATTTTTAAAACACAGAAAGTTAAGAGAGAATGGAGCAGTGAGGCCAGAAGTGTTGTTATGGACATGGCTATTAAATGTTTTGTTTTCTTTGCTATGAGACATGGTGACAAATACCAGCTCCAATTTATTTAAAAAAAAAATGCATCTCTGGGGCAGGTGTTTGGCCTAGCAGTTGAGTTACCAGTTAGGATGCCTCATCCCATATCAGGGTACCTAACTAGCTCCTGATTCCAGTCTCCTGCTAATACAGACCCTGGGAGGCAGCAAATGATGGCTCAGGAGGTTAGGCTCCAGAACGCATATGGGAGACCTGGATGGAGTTCCTGGCTCCTACTTTGGCACCCTGGCTGCTGTGGGCATTTGGGAGAGTATACTAAGGCAGGGAGCTCCTTTTCTGTCTCTCGAATAAGTAAATAAAATGTGTTTTTTTTTTTTTTTTTTGAGTCCATCTTGGGGCTGGTGCTGTGGCACAGTAGGTTAGATTGCTGTCTGTTTTGCCTGCATTCCATATGGGCGCTGGTTCCAGTCCTGGCTGCTCCACATCTGATTGAGCTCCCTGCTCTGTGCGTGGGAAAGCAGCAGAAGATGGCCCAACTCCTTGGGTCCCTGCATCCAAGTGGGAGACCTGGAGGAAGCTCCTGGCTCCTGGCTTCAGATTGGCCCAGCTTGGGTGGCTGTGGCCATTTAAGGAGTGAACCAGAAGATGGAAGACCTCTCTGTCTCTCTGTAACTCTGCCTTTCAAATAATAAATAAATCAATCTTAAAAAACCCATCTCTTCAACAGACAATTACTATGTGCCTACTCTGTGGTACGTGCTGTGCTAGGTGTCACTAGCCATGGAGATTAAGAATGGTCTGTCCTCAGAGAGGTCTCAGTCTCGCCACGATGGACACCCAGGTGAACTAGGTAAGCAAGGGTTGCAACTGCCCTGGCAGAAGTACAAGCAGGGTACTTGGAAGAGGGAATCGAAGAGTGACATGGGTCTGCTCTAATACTGGCAGGTGGATTTAATGGTGTTCCTGACAAGTAAGTTCATTGAGACCAGAACCTTGGTTTAGAAAAGTGGCAGGGCAATAGACATAAATGTGGGCATTAAAACCAGAAAAAAAATCACAGAGAAATCTCAGGTGCTGCCACTTTGCATGTCAGACAGTCACAACAAATGCATCTGACAGGCTATGAGGAGACGGTGAGTTAACACACTTAGGGCCCCCAGCAGTATGCTTGCTGGCAGGCTCTCCTTAAACATGCGCTCTTCAACTTAATGTTAACAGGTGCATGTAACTGATTTAAAAAAAAAATTCATAGAAAACCAATACAAAATCCAAGTCCCATTTCACTCACAGACATTGTCACATTACAATTACTGTGTGTGTTTCCCTGATAAACATTTGGAAGGTTCCCATCAGTACCACCCAGCCAGCCCATGAGGCGCATGCAAGTAGTTGCTCAGTGTCTGTGGAATGAATGAATAAATGACCTACTAAAAGACGGATACTGGCTGGCGCCGTGGCTCACTAGGCTAATCCTCCGCCTGCGGCGCCAGCACCCTGGGTTCTAGTCCTGGTTGGGGCGCCGGATTCTGTCCCGGTTGCCCCTCTTCCAGGCCAGCTCTCTGCTGTGGCCAGGGAGTGCAGTGGAGGATGGCCCAAGTACTTGGGCCCTGCAGCCGCATGGGAACCAGGAGGAAGCTCCTGGCTCCTGGCTTCATATTGGAGCAGCGTGTCGGCCGTAGCGCCATTTTGGGGGGTGAATCAACGGAAGGAAGACCTTTCACTCTGTCTCTCTAACTCTGCCTGTCCAAAACAAACAAACAAAAAACAAACACACACCCGGATACTTGGAAGTCCTCAGCTGACATCCTGCAACAGGCTCACAGGTAACTCAAGGTACTCTGCCATCTGTGAGGGTGCGCCTCACTGGAAAAATAGGGGAGGAAGCTGTGTGGCAGCCTCCTGGGAATCATTTGCTTAATTTGCATTTCTTTAACACTTAATAAGGTTGGACTGATCCTAATAGTGTCCTAACTTAAACAAGTATGGGTTCAGCACAGTTAGTGAGTTCACTAAATCTCTCCTTCCGGGCACTGTGCCTGATACACAGCTAGTGCTTATGAGATATTTGTTAAATGAATGGAAGATTGGCAAAAGCGCTAGACTGAATCTATGATTCTGACAATGTTGACATCTATTTTTTTTTAACCAGGTTTCTTCTTTGACGCAGTGAAAGACTATTCAGTTTATCAGGTATTATCTGGTTGAGGGCTTTAGTCAAGATTACTCCCCAGGGGAGAAACACAGACGCCTTGGGGAGTTCTGTCATTTTGCAAAGCAACCTGCAGAGTGGCATGCTCCAGACACCTAGCAGGCTGGTACTTTTATTTTTTATTTTATTTTTTTAAACAGCATTGGGTACTTTTATTATATATAACATAATAATGAACAAAAATTACTTGCATTCTCATGACACTTTTACAGGAAGATTTAATAAAAGAAAAAATACTGAGATGTTCCTTCTGTGGAAAAAGAATGAGTAACAGTGGCAGCTTGGAAGGACAAAATTTATTACAGTGGTCTCGTTGTAACTGCTAGCTTCTCTCCTCATTAGCTTATTCTAGAAAAAGAATCATGACCCTGTGTACTCTAAGGTCTTTAAATGGAAGATTTTAGAGTTCTTAGTGACTCTCTGTCTGTGGTGAGCAGCACTATTAATCCCATGTAGATGTTTTCCTCCTCATAGAACTGTGAGAATGTCCTTCACTATCAACAGCTTCATAGCGATTGTCTTCGTTCTCTTGTGTTTCATGGAGATAACCAATGTAAGCCATGCAAAGCGAAAGGGTTACCAATTCCAAAGCCATTACAGGTTTGTTCTGTCAAAGAAACAATTATAAAGCCTCTTAAGACTAACAATTTGAGATCTAAAAATCTAAAAATCTATTTTCCTCTTGACATGCCACGTTTTTATTACTATACTAGCATCCCTATAGCAATATTGCAATTATGATCATTTATTCAGTTCTTTAGCCAACTTGCTCAACTCCAATTTAGAGATTAAAAAAGATCTTGCATGTCCTCTCCACTCCTCCTTCTCTTTATAGCCTAGGCATCTCAAACTTCCGCCTCTAGGAAGGAGACAATTGTGAGAGGAGTGAGGCTTGGAAACTGAACAGGTATTCAGCTTTCAGCGTTATCTATGTGACATGGAGAAGTTGCTTAACTTCTTTGGGTCCAAATATCCCCATTGGCAAATCTCTAATTTTATCAGGAAGTAAAAAATGAAGTAAACATGTTCTTGCCCAAGTTATAGATAACTGGTAAAAAGTCCTTTTCTTTTACAACGTATATTAGGCACAGCAATATTGACCATGTGCATGCTCATCTGGGAACCTCCTCTATTACTTCAAGGAATTTATGTGGTACAGGTATTTATGCTGTTATAATATTCTTGATTTACTGCTGGAAAATCCAAGACCCTCAGAGGTAAAATGATGGAGCTTTGAATTAAAAAAAAATTAAATACAGGGAAGATGTTCACAACTGCATAAGTGTTTATAGTCTGGTACACTTTGTGACTGGGGAAACTGCAACATGGACCCTCCTGTTTTGCAAGTTCATACTCAACAAACTAGCCTTTCTTAGGCCAGTGTAAATGCACAGCAGTGGTACAAACAGTATTTTCTGCTCCGCCACCATACATACTGTAGCACAGGAGTATCCCCTCACCCATAGATGACACATTCCGAGACCCCTGGTGCATGCCTGAGATCATGGATAGTACCGAACCTTATAAACGTTATTATGTCTTTCCCCATATGTAAATAACCTACAATAAAGTTATCTATTAGGTACAGTGAGATTAACAACAATAGAACAATTTTAACAAAATACAATAATAAGAATTATATGAACACGGCATCTATCTTGAAAGAACCAAGACAAATGTTAACATTTGCAGATTGTGGTTGACTTTGGGTAACTGAAACCTCAGAATCTGAAACCACTGCAGCCATCTGGGGAGTGAACCAATGGAGAGAAGACTCCTCTCTCTCTCCCTCCTTCTCTTTCTCTCTGCCTCTGCCTCTCTGTAAGTCTCCTTTCAAATAAAATAAGTAAATCTTAAAAAAACCCCACACATTTATTAAAAAAACCCCAACCATTATCCATTATAATCCTCAATGTTCCTAAAATATTTTGTTTTACACGTATTTGTATGTGAAACAATATTGAAAGTTTTCCTTCCACTTGCTTTTATTCACAGAGAGGTCTTAGAAGTCAACATTAAAATTCCCATGATGAGATCTAAACCAGTCTCAGCCACACCGAGCACTGTGCGCTGCCACTCCTCTCCTCTTGATCTCACGTTCCTTTCACGCTCAGCTTTCACGTCATTTACATACTTACAGATTTTGCTTTCTGAGTTTACTTCATGCTAATTTTCTGTAGCATATTAGACAACTGAGGTCCAGGCAGGTTCAGTGTCTGGTGAGTGGTAGAGCTGGAACTTGAATCCCGGTCCCCTAGCTGCTGGCTGGCTGTCTGGGTCACAACTTTACAGAGTTTGAAGTCAAGATTTCCACATAACTGATAACAAGAGCAACACAGTGACATCTAGCAAGGATTAGCGTTTAGTTCACACAAGCAATTGTTTTCAAATTTGAAAACAATTTTAATGTCCCAACCAAGAGAACGTGAGAGTCACACGGGTTGAGTAAATCAGGAACAAGCTATCTCACAATACCAATACCTGCACAAGTAGAACACAGAAGCCACGATCAACAGCTACCTGTAATGAGCTTACCTGTAATGAGAGCGTCAGGTCGGGACTGCTCTTTTCTCCAAGCAGGGACAAAAACCGTCACATCTTTGTGGCCTCTTTCCAAAAACCAATCCACTGCCAATTTGATTCCTCGACAGGAAAATACTTCTTTGTTTCCGTGGCTGAAAGATTGTTTTAGAACACTTAACAACACAACAAAATCTAAATTCAATCTAATTTAAAGTTTATAAACAGTAATGATCATAAAATTACAACAGTAATAAGATTTCAAATTTAACGCACAGTCACAGTTCAGAGGAGCTGTTTAAAATTAGTAAGTAAGTAAAATCAGGAACAGTAAGTTAGTTAAAATTGAGATCTGTGAGAAAAAAATAAGACAATTGGCATGATGATTGCATAGAAAACAGTGAAAAGTGAGTTTTCAAATGTAAAGCCGTAAGGTTAATTAGTCAGAAAGATACAAGAGCTTTTTGGCTAGGATAGGGGAAAAGGGAAGTGCTTCAACCTCAGAAAGGAGAATTTTAGTCAAATGTAAAGAAGTCACACAGAAAACTACCTATAAAAGCAGTGGAATGGAATACTTGCAAGTTTCTAAAAAGTCTGCTGTCTCAAGAGGCCTTGGGGGTACATTTCATTCAATGACTCAGTAATACGCAAAGTTTATTGGGTGATCAATGTAAAACAAAATACCACACACTCCCTGAAAGGGAAAGCATGTCCACAAGGCTTAATCTCATACAAGAAACACTTTCCCTATCCTACTATGAAAAGACACCTAGTTTCTGTTCAAATAAGATCCTGTTGGACAAGGATTAATGATGACAAAAGGGCATTCAAGACTGGATTAGCAGTCTCAGGGTCTCAAAAAACATGCTCAACTAAGAGTGTAGTCGTGCAGTATTTATCTAGCATCAGGCTCCCTGTGTACACTTTAACCTAACAATTTAAAAACAACACTCCCTTCAGTCTTTTTAAGGAAAAAGTTTCCTACTTTAAAAGTAATTAGTTACCTTTTTTTAATGTCAGAGCTCTAAAGGCTCCATTTCTTTCAGATATTTTTACTTCCAGGGCTGAATGACAGAATGTAGGGAAATACTTTGTTCACTTTTGGCATAAATCAAACATTAGGTATATTCTAGGGGCCCCGGGAAGCTCTAGGTTGGTCTAACACAGGACTAAAGCATTTTTAGTGAAGAATAAACAGATCCATTCGCTTTACAGATGTGGAAGGCTGCACTGTACACAGGGTTAGGGTAAGGGAAAAGGTCTCCTAGGTCTGTCTCCACAGTCCAGGGAAAGGTCAGAGGTGAAGCCAGATGCACTGCTGTTTCAGAGAACGGGACCGGGAAGGCAGAGTCTGAGGTCACGTTTTCTATGTGGGATGGGATACATGATAGCCAAGCCAACACCCGAGCCCAAGGTGATGGCAGTGATGGCAGACTTCACGGAAAATACTAAGATCTAATCAGTCGTCCAAAAAACTGGAGAAAAAGATGCTATCTCTCGAGAAAACATACTTTTGTACCAAGTACTCCTAAACACAAATACTCAATTACTAAAATCTTACTATGTTTTCATGCTGTATTAAAGCTTTGAAATTTATCAACTTTTACTTTGCTAGTAAACTCAAGATACTTGGTTTCCAGACAGGCATTTAATTGCCTCTGCTCTAAATGTGGACCTGCATTAGTCCTGGTAAGGGCGGTTGTGATGTTTCACTCGCTCTAGAAACTGAAAAACCCATCCGCTAATTAAAGGACCTTCATAAAATGTGTGTAAACACAGACCATTTGCAATCATAGGACAGAGATTCTACAGACTGCAGACATGGGGATCCAGGATGTTGTCTCAGGCAATTCCCATAATAAAGGCTGTTCTCTGGTCCTCTCCTCCCCAGCACTGCGCCTCGGAGGGAGAAGGCAGGCAGGAGGATGGAAGGCGGCACACCCAGTGTCAACAGGAGCACGCAGGGCCTGGCTCCCGAGCAGATGGAACACATCCACTGCCAATCTTGTTTTAGATGGAAAATTACCTCCCATTTATTTAAGCAACTGTAGTCAAGCCACCTGCTATTTGCAGCTGAACACGTCCTAACTGCGCTGCTGGGCATATAAAAAAATCAAAGAAAACTGGCACCACTCTATCAATACCAGGAAAAAATATATACTTTAATACTGCTAATACTTAATTAGTAATAAAAGTTACTACATAATAGTAAAAAGGACAATCCACAAGAAGCTACAGTAATTCTGAACTTTATCTTCATGACATACAGCAAGGTAAAAGGTCACAGGATCACTAGAAGAAATGAACAAATATCCTATCAGCTGACAGATGAAATAGAAACTCTTTAATAAGGCTACAGATAATCCTAACAATCTAAGTGACACACAAATTCTGGAGAATGTTACAAAAGAGAAAGCATTTCTTTCTTTTTTTTTTTTTTAAGATTTATTTATTGATTTTGAAAGTCAGAGTTACAAACAGAGATAGAGAGAGATCTTTCATCTTCTGGTCCACTTCCCAGATGGCTTCAAGGCTTGGGGGCTGGGTCAGGCTGAAGCCATGAATCTCCTCCAGGTCTCCCATGTGGGTGACAGGGGCCAAATACTTGGGTCATTTTCCACTGCTTTTCCCAGGCCATTAGCCGGGAGCTGGATTGAGTGGAGCAGCTGGGACATAAACCTGTGCACATATGGGATGTTGGCGTCGCAGGTGGCAGCTTTACCCGCTATACCACAACATTGGCCCTGAGAAAATCTTTCTAAGAACAAATTCAAGTTTTATAAAATTGGCTTTATAGTAGGCAATAGGCCATATTTCAATAAATACCAGGAACTGATATCATACATACAATATTCTTTGATCACAGTGTATCATATTGCAGATATAAAGTTCATAAGGGGTTGCAACACCATCAAAACCAACTAAAAATTTTAATTTAAAAATGATTCAGTTTGTAGTAGTAACTAAAAAAAAAAACTGAAAAAAATGATAAGAACTTGAAGCAGAAAACCTATAGTGAAGGCCAAGAGAAGAGTAAAATGAAAGGAACAGTATGCTGTTTTCATGGATGCTGGTGCTCAATTTACAAAGACAGCAACTGTCTTCCAATCAGTCTCTACAGGCCACTGCAAGTCCAATCAGATTCCCCACAAGGCTTTTCACAGAACCTGAGAAACTGACCCTAAAGTTGACATGGAAAAACAAAAGGTCAGGAATAAGATGATGTTACAGTGCATGAGACAGAGATGGGCTATGCAACAAATGAAGGCAACTGGTTCCATACGTGACAAAAATAAAGCTGCAATTTTCTTTCATACAATACACAAAGAATAAATTGTAGACAAAGATTTAAATATGAGCTAGAACTCTGTAAAACTTCTGGAGAAATTATAGGAGACATTCATATCAAGTTAGGGCAACATTTCTTTTCTTTTTATTTTAAAGATTTATTCATTTACTTGAAAGTCAGAGTTACAGAGAGAGAGATGGAGAGACAGAAATATTTTCCATCTGCTGGTTCACCTCTCAGATGGCCTCAATAGCCAGCATTGGACTGGGTCAAAGCCAGGAGCCTCCTCCAGGTCTCCGGTATGGGTGGCAATGGTCCAAACACTTGGGCCATCTTCCACTGATTTTCCCCGGCTATTAGCAAAGAGCTGGGTCAGAAGTGGAGCAGTCAAGACACAAACTGGCATCTGTATGGCTTTACCTGTGATGCCACAACACCAGCCCCACAATATTTGTTAAGAAAAACCACACAATCACATGCTATCAAGGAAAAGGTAGACACGATGGAACACAAAAGACTCCATAATAAAAAAAAAAAAAATCACAGACCGGGAGAAGATATTTGCAACACACAAGAACATCAAAAGATTTTACCCAGAAAAACAGGTAACCAATTTTTTTAGGCAAAAGATCTGAACAGTCAATTCACAGAAGGAACCCAAATGACCAATAAATATATGAAAAGACACTCCCTAGCAGAGAAATGCAAATTAAAGCCAAAATGAGACACTACTTCACACCCATCAGATTGGTAAAAATAAAGTCTGCAAACACCAGATGTTGCCAAGAATGTGTGAGAGTAGGAACTCATACACTACAGGTGGGAGTGTAAATTGGTATAACTATTTGGGAAAGCTATTTGGCAATACTTTATGAAGTTGAAGGCGTGCTTTCTCTAAAACACTGGAATTCTATACCCAGGTATAGTAAAATCCAACAGTAATTTGAAATTAAATTTAATTCAATTAGCAATCGACTTTTATCCTCTCCCCAGACTTAGGCCTCACAGTGGGCAGGATAATGTCCTTATCTTTTATAAGGGGAGGGAGAGGCAGCCAAGTGGAGATGCGCATGGTGGAAAGCTGATCAGGCCAAAAAAATACTAACCAGGAAATCCTTCAGATAGATGTACTGCTCATGTCTTCAGAGTCCCTGTCAGTCACCAAGATCCAGATTCATCCCTAGTGACATCTAAGTCTGAGCAGAAAACCACAGGTAGTTCTAAACTGTAGATGGGATTTAAGACCAGAAGGGATATTGGGAGACTCAAGGATGTGACCAATCATACATCCTAGAAACATTATAAAGGGTGACTGACTTCAGGAGTTACTGATGAATCATAAAATCAGTGTAACCTAGGAAAAGATTGGACATCAAAGTATGTGCTATGCAGCTACTGACAAAAACTATCTGTTGACTATCTACTAAAAAAACAATCTTAACTTTAATTCCAAATAAATAGACAAGAAAATCTCCATACTCCTGGAGCCACTTATTTGCTTTGTACATGCTTCAGAATTCTTTGGCTCAATAATACAATTAGCGAATTCTATATTTATGAATTAGCATGTTTCTTTGATTCTCAATTTCTCTTTTATTCTGACAACCTGGCCATAGGAGGCTGGTATGCCTCAAGAAAGTCTTCTACTGGCTAACTTCGTTGGATTTTTGATCACCTTTGACGGAGTGAGAGGTCCTGAATTTACTAAGAAGTCTCCGCCATGGCTACATGGGCACAGGGGGATCGGGTTCTTGGGGAAAGTTTTTTTTTTTTTTTTTTTTTTTTTATTTGACAGGCAGAGTTAGACAGTGAGAGAGAGAGAGAGACAGAAAGAAAGGTCTTCCCTCTGTTGGTTCACTCCCCAAA